AGCTGCACGTATAATTACTAACAATTATCACTCTAATAGTTCTTTTCTTATTCAACAACTGAAGCTACCAGATTTAGAAACTAGACGAAAATATTTCAGATTAGTCTTTTTCCACAAAATGATTATAGAACGTACTGCACTATCTGCTTTCTCTATTGTAAAACCACTAACTACTCGTACATCGAAACGAATTTCAAATCGTTGTACTTGAGAGGTACCAAAATTCAAACGGAAAAACACAAATTCCTCATTTCCCAGTGGAATGTATTGGCTAGAGAGGTAATTTTGGAATTCTCAATTCGAGCTTTCAAACATGTCTTGCGTAAACATCTACAGTTGTAATATCAGTAATCATAAGTCATTTTCTTCTCTTTATTCCTTTTTGTTTTATTGTTTACTTTTCATGGTGTGACGCAGTCAAAGTTATTACGCAGCTTTTTGTCATTACCACTGTCATTTACCATCACTGGCTTAAAATAAATTGATTGATAGTGCTGTACGCAACCTATGTCAAATTGTAATATTAGGCGAGAAGGCGGAGTTTAAGAAAGAATTTTTGCTCAAGATTTAGTTCAAATGGTGTAATATACGACTGACTATGTCGATTTATATAACAAGCGCCTTTGGACATAAAAATTTAATTTTTTAAAATGTTCCATTTTCACTTTCTCTGAACTTTGAGATGATCTGCACTCCTACTGAACTACCTTTTTCAGATCAAAACTATAAACTCGAGTAGAGCAACATGTATTCTGTGAAGTCAAACTTTATGGATAAAAAATATACCTTGGTTTATTATTCTTAGTGTGGCTCTTTCTCTTAATCCAATCTGAGATGATGCCACCTGTAACTTGTCAAAATTGTCAGACCTTCCACTAGTAATATTTTCTACCACTTGTACAGGACTTTGAAAATCATTTGTAGCAAGTTTGTCCATGGAATCTTAAACAGAAATTGAAATCCTATTTAGCATTAACTTGCATTAACATGACTCGAAAATGTACAACATAGATGGTAGTGAAACTTTAGCTCCTGTTTCTTGTTTTGGTCTTACACTAGCTTTTACATAAAATTTTACTTTAATAAAAACGTATATCACTTCACACTGGAATCTAACTATCGCTCCTATCACAAAACGTTTTAGAAATTTCAGGGATGTTGTGTCGCCCGAAGTCCATATTAGCATGATTTTCTCCGCTTTTATTTGCTCTCTAATTTAAAATAGCAAATGACGTATACGTACCTTCAGAGAAATATATATTACCATCACCGTTTCTCAAACAGCTATCGATATTTGTTTCTGTTGTTTTAATAATTTTTAATCTATAGGCATTATCAGTTTTAGCCGGCGGATTGTCGGAAAATAATTTATCTAAATTCTGTTTTTTAAACGTGTCAAAATTCTTTTTATCAAGATTAACATATTCTTTAAATTCATTATTAAACCATTGTAAACAGAATAAATTCGATAAAAAGTTAATGACATTTGGTTCAAATCTTTTGATTATTTTGTTTTGAATGCTTGATAAATCATCATTTTGTTCAACCTTGATTTCTAGTTTTCTCTTGTTAAATGAAATGAGAAGTTCAATTGTTCGAGAAACCATCTAAATGATTTGTAGAAACACATCATCAGGTAAAGATCCGTCTATTCTTACCAATCTCAAGTTATGCTACAATTTTATAGAGCTTTAGATCCTCACCAAATGTCTAAAAGATGAGTATCTTTGAAGTAGAAATCCTAACTGTTATTCCTCATAGTTTCTATCATAATCATATTAAATTGTGTAGTCTGCAGCAGATTTATTCATTCAGGATGATCAGATTGGTTTTAGATTTAAAGTACAAACTTTAGCATTGTTCAAGCTTCTTAATTATTTACACGTCTTAATTTCATTAGATCACACTATAATATCAACTGATCTTTATATTAAACCTACTGATTCGTTTAATTATGTACATTTCAAGTCTTCACATCCGCCACATTCGAAACCTACTGCTCCGTACATACTAGTTCAACGAATTCAATTAACCTCAGCGTAGTTCTAGCATTCGGCAAGATGCTACAGTCTCGCTAAAGTATCTCGATTCTAACATTATCAGAGTATTTTAGGTAACTGCACGACTTACGGCAAAAGTAAAAAAAGAATTATTTTCTATTACTGCACGCACGTCGAAAAATTTTTTAGCTTGGCTTCTTCTATTACATTAATTGTGCACACATGCAATCATTAATATTATTAAAGACAATACACTCGGTAAATACCGGAAAAAAAATACAATACTGAGATGCAAGAATTATGGTAGGTAAATATTCCCTTGACTTTAGTCTAGGGTATTGGTATGAGAACTGACGACTAAGTGCATCCGCTATAGTGTCACTAAAACATATAGGATATTCAAAATTCGAACTAAAATTCATTGGATGACAACTTTAGATTTAGATTAGCTTCAAATAAAATTTCATTTCCCCATATTTTCTTGTTATGCTCAAGCGAATTTTGAATATCCTATATCTTTTAGTGACACTATAGCGAATGCACTTAGTCGTCAGTCCTCGTACAATATTACAAAATGGTTGTCTGTGTGTGTGTTTCTGTCTATGCGCAAAATACGGAAAAATGGCTGTGCGATATTCGATGGATAACCGAATCAAACGAGAGAAAAATACAAAATTATTTTTTACACTAGAGAGAAAATATTTAAAGAGATGACTGAAAAAATAATTACTGATGCAGAAAAGAAAAATACTATGGAGATGTTTCTTTACTTCTGAGATAGATGTCGCCAGAAAAGCAGTCCATTTTGATAACATAAAAAAAGCTATCTACGGATAATAAAACTTAAAGAATATAGATAGTCTATCATGGCAAATCGATCAGACATCTTTCCAGTCTCCATTTCGATCTTCAGAGGGTGTCCAGAATACCTTTGTTAAAATGTTACATATAGTTCAGATTCATTTCCTGACTTGGTCCAAGTCGAAAATCGAATTGAACTGAATTTTTATTTTTGCAAGCATGGTTGTTGCAAAGAAAGGCTAGCTTATGCTAATGCAACACCGAAAATAGTGAAAAAATAAAGGAATACTAAAAAGAGCAAGTTACATTTGAAATATAAACTTATATGACAGATTCATATATGGCACCGAAGAGGGATGGTACATTTTAAGACATTTTGTTGATAATAGACACCTTTCTGCTGTTAGAGGCAGTTTCTTACTAGCAAACTTGGACAGCATTCCACATCGCTACATCACCTTCTTTACAAAAGCATGGGCTTTCGAAAAAACAGCGTATTTTCAATCAAACTCGCGGAGAGAGCTCATTAAACGTATTTGGACCTGCTCACGTTCACGAATGTACACAAAAAACAGTTCGGTATATTCAAGAAAACTTCTTCTCTTCTTGAATATTTTATGTTAAAGTATTTTCTTGTGTATCCCCCTTGGAAAATTCTGTGTGATATTAGATAAAAACGTGTATGCACAAAATAAATAGGAAAAACAAAAAGTGTAAACAAAGAATGTTTTCTTCTTTTTTGTTTTGTTGGCCACTCAACTATTTTTGTTATGCTCTTTCTCCCATGTATCTTAAAGTTTTCTATTCATCAGTAATTATTTTTTCAGTCATCTCTTTAAATATTTTCTCTCTAGTGTAAAAAATAATTTTGTATTTTTCTCTCGTTTGATTCGGTTATCCATCGAATATCGCACAGCCATTTTTCCGTATTTTGCGCATAGACAGAAACACACACACAGACAACCATTTTGTAATATTGTACGAGGACTGACGACTAAGTGCATTCGCTATAGTGTCACTAAAAGATATAGGATATTCAAAATTCGCTTGAGCATAACAAGAAAATATGGGGAAATGAAATTTTATTTGAAGCTAATCTAAATCTAAAGTTGTCATCCAATGAATTTTAGTTCGAATTTTGAATATCCTATATGTTTTAGTGACACTAATTACAGAAAAATTAAATAAACGGAAAGAAAATTATTTTATTCACGAATGATACAGTAGATTGATTATAGTATGAAAATAGAATGAATATAGAGTACTGACCACTAAAGAACGTGATGAAATCGTACTATATCCTTAATATAAGATTCTTATCAGAATCTTATAGAAATCTTATCAGTTTCTTATATAAGATTCTTATACATAAATTACGTACGCATTTCCATCGACTGTCTTATAAGATTCTTATAAGATTCTTGCAGATATTCTGTAAGATTCCTATAGGAATCTTATATAAGATTTGATCTCTAGGGTTTTAGAATATGCGAGATTTTGTCCGAAGATTTGCTTTTATTTTTATATTTTAATTTCAAGCGCCTGTTTTCACTTAAGACGTTAATATTCAAATTCTCAAAGAAAACTTAGACTTCAAACGACTATTTCTTGTAACCGGCGATATTACATTATTAGTATGAAGGACGACAAATTTCTTGCATTTTCGAGGCTTTCAAATGATATTCCAAGCTTGATCATACTCTCCCTTTGTATTATATACATTGCCAATATTCATCAGACTGCTAGCTATGCTGTCGTGGTTTGGAGAAAGACAAATTTCTTTCATTCTCAGTGCTTTCGAGTAAGTGTCCCTTTGAATGATAAACATTGGCAATACTCATTAGATGGCGAGCTATGTTTGCAAGTTTGGGAGAAAGGGTGTTTTGCGAAGGATTGTCTGTAATGGTTATTGATGTGCGCGTTCGTGGTTCTTCAGGGAGTCGTCCTATTGACCTTTGCAGAGGTGAGCTTCGGCAAGACCGTGATAGGTCGAAGCAATATCCTCTCCTGTTGGATCATCTAACAATGTCTCAAAATACTTCTGTTCTTTTGAATATTCACCGATTAAAGGAGAAGATAACCGAACTAAAGTACGATACTCGATTGTTTCATTTGTTTCTTCTTTGATTCAATATATTCGCGAGCAACGTGTGCTCCTTAATTAGTCTCTTTCATTGTCATAATCCAAGTAGTGCACTCTCAATTTAGCTCGATTGTCTGAATTTCAAAGGCTGCTCCGAGATCAAATAAAATTTCTTTCTCTGAGGTAAAGTTACTGATTTCAGCTATATCTCCTAATATTGCCATTTTGGTCGGGATGTCACATTCAATTTCAAATAGAACTGATTGTGGCGTAGAGTTTGTTGTCGGTTCGCCAGCAAAATAAAGAGCTACCTCTCGTGATTGGCTTGTAGAGAAGAAGCCATTGGCCGATATTAATTTGTTCTCACTCTGTTTTACGTTTTCAAATTCATGATTGGGTAGTGCAACTCCACGATACAGTTTCATCATGATAAATGGCTGTCGACCTTTTAGCTCTTCATATTTCTCAGCAAGACGTAGACAAAGATCCCCTAATAAAAAATCGGAACTTATATAACTGATCAATATCTTCTGTTCTTAAAAGCTTTACATGGTTTTGTGTAGCATTGAATTGCTTGCGAAGATTTATAAGTCTTATGAAATTCCTCTATATTTTGCAGTTGCTTTTCGTTTCTGTGGTAATATTCTCGGCACTTTTTGATCATTTCTTCCTTTGCTCCTGTTGTGTTGGACATATTTTTAAAATGACATCTTTAAACAATTGAAACCAAAGAAATAATGCGGATACTTTAGAGAGATCACGAGTATATTTTAGATTCTGATTATAAACGCCAAATGTTTGCATATTTTTTAAAAGTAAACCAACTCTTCGTTTAGCTGAATCAACAAGAGCATTTTGATCAGTAAATATGTTAACTATTTTTGAGTATTCATACAATGGTTAGTCACATTGTTTCGGTATCATGGAAAACAGAGGTATGAAATCAATTTGACTTCTCTATTCAGCATGAAAGAATAGTTTTTATTTCATCATGTGAATACGTCTTGGATATTTTATCTCATAAACACGATTTAAGTCAAATTAATTTCATATTTCTGTTTTCCATGATACCAAAGATTCTGATAAGAATTCGGTAAGATAGATTATATAATTACTTTATAAGAATTCATAAGACTTTGACAACAAAATTAAAATGTTTTCTTTTTCTGTTTTCAAAATGTAACCCACACATTTTTTAGAGTAGCAGATGGCTTGTTATATTCTTAATTCAAAAAGACTTCGTTGTTCTTGAAATTAGTTGTGTGCGTAAACCACACTTTTTCTGGAAGTCGTGCTGCTGTTACTTTTAAAATCTTTTCAAGTTAGCCAAAAGAAAGAGCACCCTTGAAGACCTTTAGACACCAGGTTTCATAAACATTGATCCGGTCTTAACATATATTGTGTCAAACAACGAACATCAAGCGTCTTAAGTTCGACATGTCTGAATACTCTCTTCCCATATCTCCCTCGATTGAATTCGTTTGATTGCTTAGCATCGCTACGCCGCGAGCACACGGGTCTTGGCAGGAGATATCCCTGATGACGAAATACAAGATCAGCATTTGAAAACTAATGGATCCAAATAGAGTATTCCGATGGGATAAAACGAGGTACGAATGTCTGTGTAGGGAATAAGACAATATTGCTCACCAGGCAGCTGAACATAATAATTCATGAAGATTGTTGGTAATAAGAGGAAGAATGTAAGTAGCCATTGACCAAGCAC